AAATTCTTGCTTATGGCTAAATTTAGGCAGGGATGTGTAATGTAGGAAGACCTTGTAACAGTGGTCTTATCATTAACAAGAAAAAAGTAGAAGCGGCAAAACATCAAATAAGTTTTGGTTGAAATAAGTGAAAGAGTTTTTATTTCCCCATGATCGATAAGGTTTGATTGTTTGCTCACTCTGGGGTATTGTATATCAGTCATGGGAGACTGAGAATTCATTCTGGGTATAATACAAGGTAGTAGTCAAGATATACTTGTGGGAGAAAATTAACATGTGTATGTAGTTGAGTAAAATAGACTACATACTCTATAAATTAGCAAATTGTAGTTATTGAAAGTTAGTTGCTGCTGCTGCTGGTTCCATCACTGGTTGAAGGTATTGTTGTTGATAGAAGCAACTTTGTGTCGCTGCTAATGGTCTGTGCTGCTGCATAGTGTTATGGAGTGATTTCACAGTGGAGGCTTGTATTTGTACTAAGTCGGTCCTAAAATAGGTTCGATGTACAAAACGTTAGGAACTTGATATAATGCAGAGTAATCTAGCGGTGGTCGCTGATACTTTAGTATCCGACTAACGGTCGTCCGGCATCAACTGACTGACCAACTCACTGAGCCCACTCCCACATTACTCTTACTACTCCTACTTATTATAGGTGGGAGAGTCTATTAACTATAGAATAGGTGTGTTCCACTATAACACATAGTCTGCTGTGTTTGGTTAAAGTTGCCTGTCATGGGGTCCATCACTAATATCAAGCGCGTCAGATTTGCTTCTGTGGGTGAAATCAGCATTAGCTTTATAGTCAGTAACTAAGAAATTGCTGCTACAAAAACCATGTGGGCCATTTTTCTAATAGGTCATAAAAGATGTTTTATGACCCTAGTATATTGGGGCAGTATTCTGGAAGTGCATGCACAGAACTGGACAAAATTAAGGTCTGTTTTTGTCATATGAGCTGTGTATCAGGAAGTGAGCATTTTTGTTTGAATTAAAGAATTGGAGTTCCAACAGTATAAGATAATCTTTTTTTAGATACTGTAATGCTTCTTCTTAAGAAAATAAAGGAAATAGCCAATCCAGAGATCTCTTTCACAGCATTGCTGTAACCAGCATGTAACGAGTCCTCTGATTGTTCAATAGATGCACTAATGACAACTCTACTCCATTTTTGCCATGATCGACAATTTAGAAACTCTCTTTTGATGACTGACTCAAGAGCAGCGCCAAAATAGTACCTTCCATGCAAAATAAAAGTAGTAGAATACCCGTGGCTCTATAATCTTTCCACCCAAATCAAAAGCCAAAAGTATGTAAAGTACATATCTACTATGTAGGTCAGGACATGTAAAACATAGTGTAAATGGAAACAAAAGAAACACAATATACAAATATCACAAAATTATCATCCCACCTCTCTCAGCCCTAATGAGTCAGAAAAAACAGTTGGGCTGATAACACTAGGTCCATCAGGTTCACCATTTTTAAAATTTAGCTGCTAAAATTCTCCAAAGTCTTCTTCTGATAAAAATACTTCAAAGAAACAAGTCTTCATCCAAATCCTACAAAGATATATCCAGCCCTGGAGATGATTCTATCAAGTATGGTTTTGTTCCATACATGTGGTAGAAAACATTCATCCCAAGATTCCTGCAACAAAGTATGGCTTAGAAGTGCCCTATACGGAGCCTTACAAAGTTCTGACATGGTCAACTAAAAATTTCATGATTGATATGAACAATGGAACCCATGCGCAAGTATCAATTTATAGGCTAAAACCTTATATTGGGCCTGACTAAAGATAAAATGAGTTCCTGACTGACAAAGAAAATAATACAACAGTCAACAAGAATATTGATAATAATAATAATAATAATAATAATAATAATAATAATAATAGTGAAACTAATAAAACTAAGACAGGAAAAAAAATAATATCTTTTATTTTCAGATATTTCTTTCCACTCACTAGCTCCAATTCTGGGTGGGGGGGCCATTTGTAGTGAGCCCTGATAAAAATAAAATATAAAAATAATATATATAAAAGATAAATAAATAATTAAAATTACAATACGGCATTTGCATTTTCCTTTAAAAGCCTTATATCTCTTTCTTTCTTTCTCTAAAATTCTCTCTATATACTTCTCTAATGAGAAGTTAACCCTCAAATAAAATAGAGAAAGAAAAAAAGCCTGAACCCGGCTGCAAAACGGTGGAAGTTTGGTGGACCAGTGTTTAGCCATTTGTGACTAAAAACTACCAAAAATCAGAGAGGCTCTACACATAACTTCTGCTATGTAAAAAATATAAAAAGCTATAAAATAAAATAATTTTGGCCAATCAAAAAAATTAACACAAAGAGACTTTTTATGTTAACTGAAAGCAAGATTCACACCAATAGTCTGGGAGTCTGGTCAAAAAGATATAAGGTGACAGCCCTGAGAAGTGCTGCCATGCGTGACACGTGAAGAAGTTTAGAGGTCATCTGCTTAAGTTTTTCTGCTCTTCTTAGAGCCCCCACTAAAAAAAAACGACAGTAGATTGACGCCAATGTTATAGATAAGCGTATGGTTGCAAGAAAGAAATACGACAACTGCAGAAATAGATTTATGTGATTTATGTCAATAGGAACGTGTGGTTTTGGGACAGCTATCTTGTGGTATAGTTCATAGGCCTGCTGAAGATCTGGGTTGATCTCTCATCGTAGTTCTTGCTGGTTGGCGTGTCGCTACTCTGCTGCTGGCTGCTGCTGACCGCTCAACCTGACCGTGACAGGTCTCTTCCCTGGCCTCCTGTTGACTTCCGTTGTACTTCCGTGTGACCCCTTTTATGGTGTTTTTTTATGGTTTAACAGGCTCGAAAAATGACGCGAGTATAATTAGGAGGGAAGCATTTTTATTGGTCGAAAAATAGAAACCCTTCAAAAAATTATTTTATTTTTCGACTGGAACTCGTGCGTCAGGAACATGTGTAAATGTAGATAATGGTCATTTTGTGACGGGGCTTTGTCCCGTTCACATCCGGCTCTTGCTCTTGAGTATGTTAGTTTATTTGCCTGTAAATCAGCCGAGATATGTCTTATTTTATTTTATAACACCAACCTATTTTTAAGATGACAACTACTACCAAGTTCTGAATGTGAAACTACCCACTACAAAGCTGAAATGGCCTTTCTCCAGACAGCTACCAAGATCTGCTTTATAAGCAAACTTTTGCTACACTGAATGAACTCACTCTAATCTACATCAAATAAATAAATGAATATTATTTATTTTATAACCTTAAGTTTCCAATAAATAAATACTAAGTCATTCTGGCACAACTTTCCACAATACAAAGATAAACTGAAAGATAATAACAAACATATTTGAATACAACCATCAAAGTTTGAGGAGTATATTACTGACTATTAAATGGAGAAAAAACATGCCAAATTTGCATTTAGAGCCACATGACTGAGCATGTAGGTAATCTTAGACAAATTCAGAAGAATACTGTCTGCAGTTTGGTTTGTAAAAGCAAAGCTAGTTTTGTGTATTACAAGAAACACAAACAATAAAATGTCGAATAAGGCAAAAAGTAAATTTTGGTCCCTCATGCATAAAAAATGGCTTGTTTTTAATTGCTACTTTTTATTTTATTACATTATTTGTCACACCTGTGTGCAAAATACAATAGATAGTTATTTGAGTGCTATACCTACCACCTGAATTGTGGTCATATTTTGTGATGGTACTGCATACAAATCTCTTTCAATCCCAAACATGTTTCAGCTTTAAATAACCCACAAACAGTTGATAAGCTTTAAAAAAACAAATCAATCAACCTCTTTTAGTCAATGCGAGAGCCATGACAACATACCCCAAACAATTGTGTGCAATCAATAGGTATTTCAGAGTATGGACCATGAGTTTACTTGATTGATGTTTGTTTGATTATTGCTTATTCAATTTATTTCAGGCTATCTTTTTTTTTTTTTTAATTTAATTTGTTTTTTAAATTAACTCAAATTAGAAATCTGAGAGTGAAATAGGTTTTTCTTTTTTTTTTTACAGTTATTGAATTATTTCTTTACTCCTAGTATTTTATTTTATTGAAATCAATCACAAATTATAGGCTAAATATTTTCTACTAGAAGAAATCAATGAATCTATGGTTTTAGAAGGCGATAAATAAAGACAAATTGCAAGCATTTTTCACATAAAACATGTTCACCAGTAAAACTGTTTTTTAAGATTATAATCGATTTTCATGAAAGAAGGACAGAAAAGTAGAGTAAAAATTATACATCAATATTCGACCCTGATGGGACTTGAACCCACAATCTTCGGCTCCGGAGGCCGACGCCTTATCCATTAGGCCACAGGGCCACGTCAAAATGGAAAGAAAATTAAGCTTTTATTCGCAAAAAGAAATTTGGCGTTAAATTCTTCTTAATAACGTTGATATTTAAGATTAGGTTTTCTGACTGTTGACAAAATCTGACAAATAGAACGGATTTGAAACATTCACATCTTCTTGTCGGAATTAATCACAGAGCGAAATCACAATCGTTATTCTTTTTATGTAGTTGTTAAAATTTACGTAAAAATCAGAATAAAACCAATGACGACAATATTGTTATTTAACTCTCTCTTTGTTGATCTAGTTTCATTTTTAATCGCTATGTACGATTTGCCCGGAAAAAAAAGATACACATATTCTAGTGAGAATATAAAAAAAAAAAAAAAAAATGTAAATAATACAACATAGTGTTCCGTGATGCATTCTGCCAAACTTTCAAAGATTTATGCGCGTCACCGACGATACTGTTTGTCATTTTCATTGTAAAAAAAAATCATAACGAGATTTTTTTCATTATTATAAAGCTAAAAAGAATTTATAATGAAAAATATTTAATCTAAAACATGTAAAAGTGTTAGGGTATTAGAAAGTATGAAATTGCATCTGTAGTGAGTGCATCAAGTTATATTTGGAGTCGACCGCGGGAATTGACCGACATGAGGTTTCGTGGTAAACTTGTAGATACAGCCTGTATCCAACATTTTTCTAGTATGTCTCACTAATAAGCTTTTATTATTTGCTTCTGATACTTACTGAAAAGTTAATTTTATTATACCTGATTTGATAATGATCTTAGGTCGCAAAACGAGAAAAGAACGGCAACTGTGCCATAAAAAATACATTCGACTTTTTACATCCGTAGGTTTTTTAGAATTTATTTAATGAACCCTAACCCTGCCGAGAATTTATTGCTTTGGCAAAATCTCCCCCAAAATTGTTTTATTTCTATTCGAGTTAAAATTATTTGGGAAATGGACAAAAATGTATTTTGTTTTGTTTAGATTTAAACTTCATTAAGTAAATGTGTTGCACAGAGTTTTATTATTTTTGACAGTAATTTGTTTAAATAAAAATGTGTATTTTATTAGCATTTTGCTAAATTAAAAGTAGTCTCTAAAAGAAAAGTTAATTCTTTATTCTATTTTATTCCAATAACAATAATTAGGAGATTGAAAGAAACATTCACTTTCAAATGTTGAGAATTTTTAAATCACTTTATTATGGTTGGGTACTTGAATTACTGGGAATAGTTCTTCGGGTTTCACCGCTTTTTATGTAAACATAATTTAATTTATTTTAAGTCCTCAAATCACTCCACAATCTGTAATATTTTGAATCAGGAAAACATTCTTGTTTAAATTAAAATTTTAAGGTACAGAAGTGCAACTACGTGTTTTTTTTGTTGTTGTTTTTTTTTCCCTTTTTAGTTCTGTTTTTTCTCTCTTTTACTTTGTCATGTCATAACTTTGGATTTTTTTTTTTTTAATTATTAAAAGTTCTCAATTTTGACATTTTTTAGAAATTTGAAAACCTACAAGCCTAAAAATAATTAATTTTACCTTATTTTTCAAGCGTTATGTGTGCGTATTATTGAATGAAATACTTTTTAAATGTGGCTTCAATAAACCTTTTTAACTTAAAAAAGAGTTCGTAAATTAAGTAGATTTGTTGATCTCACTCTGATAATAAAAAAATGTCCTGTAATAATTTAAAAATTAGTCTTGCATTCTATTTTTCTTTGATGGAAATGATGGATTTTTGTGATTTCAACAATAGAATGAATTTCTTTCACAAAGAAAAATAAATGTTTACATTTCCTATTTGGGAAAATGTCTTCATTTTTTTTTTATTTTTTTTTTTTAGGTAAACATTTTTTTTGAGAAATCAAAAAGAAAAAATCCTCTTAAAACGCATTTTAAATTTATGCCTTTTTCGAACTTAAATTCTAGTTCTGTTTGAAATATCTCTCTGAAACTAGTTCGGATTTAAAAGAAATAATTTCCGTCTATAAAAGGTATCTTTAAACTTTAATTAGCACGTTTTTTTTTTTGTTGTTTTTTTTTTGGTACTCATCGAGCTACCATTGTATACGAAAAATAATGTAAACAATAAATTTAAAATTCTCTTTAAAATCCCATATTTCTTTTTGAGATATGTTTTGAAGTCTGTTGGTAAATTTAAGACTTAATAATTGGATATTCTAAAACTAAAAGTAATTCTTACCTTTTAATTAAAAACTGAAAATAACCTTTTTATTTATACACGGTAGCTTCTGAGGTCAAAGGAAAATTAGAAACACTTTACTCCTGTCCGAAAAAGCGCGCGAAAAAAGAATCTTGAAGAAATACGGCAAACCATCAGTGCAATAATCTAGAATTTGTTTAAAAATAAATTTTCTTCAGCTAATTATTTAAGAATATATTTTTTTTCCATACGCTTTTATTAAATTTAGAATAATAAATAAATTTGAAAGCATTAAGCAAGGTGCTACTCAAACAAAAATATAGTGTAACTGTAAAATAAATGTAATTTGTGTTAGATTATAATGTGAAAAGAAAAACATTTATTCTCAATATTCTTTTATGCGAATGAAATAGTTTCGTATTAATACTGGAAATGTTCTTAGTTTCGCAAAGAACAAATTATGCAGGAAAAAATATTTGTTTTTAAAATAATAAAAAAAAACTTGTATTAATATGCAAGAAAACATTAAAAAAACCCAAATCCTGTAGAATGAATTAGAAAATGATGCTTTCAAAAACTGGTTGAATGTGAAATATAAAATTAGATTAATTCCTAATCCTCTTCTGATATTAAATAGTAGTCAAAACGTGATATCAGAATTATGTCCTTTTTGTACATCCTTACCAAGTGTAATCAAACTGTTGATAAAAGGGAAAAATAAAATCCTTTTTAAAAAAGGTTCACACTAGAAAATGATATTAAACTTTACATTTTTTGATTTTTCAAACATGTCTTTATTTAATAAAAGAAACACTTCTTCCAAACAAGATGAATTTCAAAATTGCACTGAAAAATTACATGTAATTTTTTAAAAAAATAAATATTTTTTTTTTTGTTCACTCTGAAAAATTTTAAATTATACAAGCCTTAATTATAAAAAATTTTTTTAGTTTTATTGAATTATTTTTGATAAGATGAATTTTCTGTGTTCAAACTTGATATTGCATAAATTTTTCATAAAAAGAATTATTCATTATTCATTAAAAAAATTCAATCATTAATGAATGAAAATTTAATTTAAATCTGGAAATCTGATAATTCTCTGATTTTTTGCAAACATGGTGTTGTGATTTTTTTTTGCTTTCATTTAAAAAAAAAAATAAAAGCATCCATTTTAGTGGTACCTAGTAAATAGATGCTGCCACAGACTTATAAATCCAATATTTGTCCTAAAGATGTGTTTCAAAGTCAGTACATTTTGGGATTAATTAACTGGATTTTGTAAATGTAATGCTTACTTTTTGCTTAAAACATAATGAAAATAACGTTTATTTATACATGGTAACCTGTGATGTCATAGGTCGCAACTCTAGTTTGCTAATTAGACCCCTATTTTATGCACACAAAATTTTTTTAAAAAAAGATACGGAACACAAGCAGTGTTATAATCAAGAAACTGTTATCATGTTTCAAAATAAATTATCTTCAATCTTATATAACCAATAGTTTAAGAATATAATTTTTTATTCTATACATTTTTATGAAACTTTAGTAGAATGAATAATTTTACTTTTTGTAGTAGTTTTTTTTAAATGATACTTTTGCGATTAATACATTGCTTTCATTTTTCATTATTTTTTTATCTGCCTGATGTCATAAAATTTTAAAATGGTTCACACTTGAAAATGGCATTAAATTTTACATTTTTTTATTTTTCAAATGTCGTTATTTAAAAAAAAAAATCTTGTTACAAATAGCAACAGAATGAATTTCAAAATCATACTGAAATATTACAAGTAATTTAAAAAAACTTAAAAGTATTTTTTGTCTGTTCAATCTGAAAGAAAATAACATGTTTTATTAAATGATGTGAGCATCAACATGCAAAAAAAATTTAACATCTTCAGGGATTTTTCTTTAAATAACTAAAAAGCATTTAAAACCACCAATTCCCACCCAAATTAAGAAGTACAAATCAGATATCAGAAAAGGGGTGACCATAAAACGCCCCCCCACCGCCAATATTTTGATGTTTCCTAATAAAATAACCCCATCAGTTTGCAATTCATTTATATTAATGAAGAAATACTGAAAATTTTGTTTGAGTTGGATAATTCCGTGATTTATAGCAAGTTTTTTTAAAACGGAGTAGCAAAATTGTTTTCTTTCATTTCGTAAAACAATACATCCATTTTCTTGGTACCTAGTAAATACCAACCCTATCTATATTTACTTAAAAAGTAAAATGGCTACCACCACTTTGCACTTTTCACATGAGGTCAATTTGTGAGCTGGGGAGGACAGTTCTGGGAGCTTGCTGGACTTATACCATTATCAACCAGAAACTTTAGTAGGTGAAATATGATGAAACTCATTATGAAATCGGTTTGAATAAAATTGGAAATTACTGGGTTGGAGCAAAACATTTGTAAGATTTATGTTGTATGTTTTTGGGTTTCTTTAAGCAAATTTCAAACCCAATATTTAGATATTTGTACATAGAATTATTCAGTCACATATGTGCCATCTATCTTTCACTATCTTTGAGGCAGCTTCATGATTCCATCCTCCCAGAACTTGGCTTCATTTTTGATGATGATCTGGTCTAAGCCTCCGAAGAATTGAAGTTCTTCCCATTAAGAGTATTTTGTAAGGATCAAAATAAAGTTGTAACCTGAAAGTGCAAGTGAGTATGGTGGATGTAGTAGGGCATCTCAGCTAAGTTGTACCAATTTCTGCAGGGTCTGCTAAGAGATTTGTTGTCCTGATGGAAGACAACACCCTTCTTATTGGCAAATCCAAATGCTTTTAATCTATTACTGCTTTTAGTTGGATGAATTGGAAACAGTCTGCAGTAGAAGCATGTAATACACAATGCTCTTTCAATCCCATCCGATACACAGACCAGCTCTTGGATTGAATAACAGTGGTTCAGTTCTTTCCACTAAGATGTTTTTCATTTTACATTTGTTGTAAAGAATGTATTTTTCTTCACCTATGATTATTCTTTTTGTTATGGGGTCCTCCCCTTTTTAATATAAGTGGACTCTACCAAAGTGTTACTTGGACTGCTGCTGTTAAATACCCAGAGTTAGACAGTCAGTGAGAGTGAGTAGAGATAGTAAGAAGACTGAGATTGTGATTGAGTTGGAGGTAGAGTAATAGTGTGAGGTAACCGCTTGTAGAAGTCCGTTACAAGCATGTAGACTCTAAGGAAGTCCTACTTCAAAACTGTATATATCTATATATTATTGCTACTAACCGCATTCCTGGATTTACTAACAATATTACCCTTTGTATTATTGTGTAAATACATTTTATTTCTTATATTTAATTCTTGCGTTTGTCATTCATTGGAGACCGAATTTCATCTCGGAATCCACAACAAATTGGCGATGAAGATTCGAACCCAAGTGGAAAAGAAAAAATCAACAAAAGAAAAATCTTCCCTCGTCGTCCAACAAGCAAATTGGCGTCGAGCAATTCAAACTCACACAAAAAGAAGAAATAGAAAAATCCTTCCCTCATTGTCCACAACAAATTAGCGACAAACAGTTACGAGGAGTAAAAATACGTAAGATTGAGTTGTCATGGAAGATTTAAAAAATATTTTGGTAGAACTGATAAAACACCAAAATGATCAACAATTACAATTACAAGAACGAATGGAAGAAAAATGGCAAAAGCAATTAGAAAGACAAATAGAGCTCAAAGAACTAATATTGAAAGTAGCGGGCAACAAGCAATTAGATATTGAAAAAGAAGCAACATTTTCACAAGACGCAGTGTGGAATACCATAGAGATTTTCAAATATTCTCTAGATGAGGACAAAAATTTTGGAGATTACTTCAGAAGACATGAAGACATCTTTAACATAGACTGTCAAAATTGGACAGAAGCAAAAAAGCTATGTCTAGAAAATTAGGAACTGAAGAATATACAAATTCGTGGATTATATCTTGCCAAAAAAGACGAATGAATTAACATTTGACGAAGCAGTGACATGTCTTAAAGAACTCTTCAGCCCCAAAACATCACACTTCCACAGGTGGTGGAAATGCTTTAACCTGGTAAAGGGCAATAATAAGGATTATTCCACGTTTGCCGCAATTGTAAATAAACATTGTGATGACTTCAAACTAGCGGAATTAACCCCAGACAATTTCAGATGTTTCATCTTTGTTCAAGGGTTGGTTTCTACAAAAGATAGTGAAATGCGCAGAAGAATGCTTGCAAAATTACAAAATGAACCAGGTCTAACATTACAGCAATTATCGGAAGATTGCCAGAGATGTTTAAGTATAAAGAAAGACGCAAAGGACATTGAAGAATCAGCTGTTTCTCATATATGTAAGTTAAACAAAAATCTATGTTCTTCACCCTCCCCGGAAAGAAAACTAAAATTTTACGACAATGAAAAAAGATTCTCACCCTCCCTGGAAAGAAAAAGAAAATTCTATAATAAGAGAAAAAGTACAACATACAGGACAAATTATGACGAATATCGAAGCAAATATAAGCCCCCCTCCATCCACATGTTATCTATGTGGAGGACTACATTGGAAGAAGGATTGCCGCTTTAGATATAAAAACTGTCTTGAATGTGGAAAAAAGGGCCACAAGGCATCCCAATGTAGAAATAGAAAAGATACTAATAGAATAAGAGCTACAAGGATGCATAACAATGACAACACCAACGTAAGGAAATATGTGGAACTGGAAATTTTGAATAAAAAGGTTAAATTACAACTGGATTCGGGTTCCGACCACACGATAATCAACTTACAGACATGGAGAAAACTCAACAGACCTACCATGTTACACACACAAAAAATTGCCAAGTCGGTTACAGGCAAACGAATAAAATTTGAGGGAGAAATAATCGTGAATGTTAAATTTCACGGCAAAACAAAAAAACTTAAGATATACGTCATGAAAGATACTGAAAATCTAGTAGGTATCGACTGGATGCAGAAGTTCAACGTTTGGGACCTACCTATCAACTCTTTTTGCGTTAAAGTTAGAGGTTGAACCATCAGATACTATAAAATTAAAGGAAGAAATTTATAACAAATTTCCTGAGGTATTTTCGAGCGGCTTGGGACGATGCAACAGATTTAAGGCCAAAATAGAATTAAAAGAAAACGTCCAACCAATTTTTAAAAAGAAGCTAAATGTACTGTTCGCTACTATAGAAAAAATAGACAAAGAATTGGAGAGACTTGAACAAACTGGGATTCTATCAAAAACAGGTTTAGCGAGTGGGCAGTGCCGGTGGTTTATGGAAAAAAGAAGTCGGGTGAAATTCGCATATGCGCAGATTTTTCGACGGGACTCAACAAGGCGATAAAAGACTACCATTACCCACTACCGAGTCCAGAGGAGATATTTACAAAGCTCAACGGTGGTAAGATATTTTCAAAAATAGACCTTAGTGAGGCTTATCTACAAATTCCAGTACAAGAAGAGAGTACGAAAATCCTTTGCATTAATACGCACAAAGGGTTGTACAAATTCAACAGACTACCATTCGGAGTAAAAGTTGCACCAGCAATTTTTCAGCAAATGATGGACACAATGCTCACGGGCCAGAATTTCATGACCGCTTAACTGGATGATATTCTAATTAAGAGCGACAATGTTGAAGAGCACACATCACACATAAAGGAAGTTTTCAGAAGACTGCAGGACTTTGGGTTCAAAGTAAAAGAAGAAAAGTGTGATTTCTTCCTAAATGAAATTAAATATTTAGGTCAGATAATAAATGAAAATGGCAGGAAACTGGACCTAGAGAGGGCATCGGCAATTAAAAATATGCCAGAACCAAAAAATGTTGCAGAACTACAAAGTTTCCTGGGCTTAGCTAACTCCGATGGCGAATTTATTGATAATATGCATAAACTGAGGGCTCCACTAAATGAATTACTAAAAAAGGAGAATAATTGGAATTGGACAGAGGACTGTAAAAAAGCATTTAAGGAAATAATGCAAAAATACTAACTCCCCCCCAAAAGGGATCTAAGGAGGTGGGGTGTTATGGGGTCCTCCCCTTTTTCATATAAGTGGACTCGACCAAAGTGTTACTTGGACTGCTGCCGTTAAATACCAAGAGTTAGACAGTCAGTGAGAGTGAGTAGAGATAGTAAGAAGACTGAGATTGTGATTGAGTTGGAGGTAGAGTAATAGTGTGAGGTAACCGCTTGTAGAAGTCAGTTACAAGCTCTAAGGAAGTCCTACTTCAAAACTGTATATATCTATATATTATTGCTACTAACCGCGTTCCTGGATTTACTAACAATATTACCCTTTGTATTATTGTGTAAATACATTTTATTTCTTATATTTAATTCTTGCGTTTGTCATTCATTGGAGACCGAATTTCATCTCGGAATCCACAACACTTTTAAAAAATGTTTTTGTTGTGCTTAGGAAGAGGATTGCAAACAGAAAGGTTGTCCATTAAATTCTTTTGTATCCAAGTGTTTTCAGATTCTTTACAATTCTCATATGGGATATGTGGAGAATCTCTGCAATGTCCAGTGTCATGTAATCTGAATTATTTTTAATTTGAATAAATTTGAATGACATTTGTTGATTAGCTTACATTGCTTATCAGCAAAACACTTTACCAGTCAGGCTTGCAAAGGATAGAGGATATGAGTTCAAACCTTGTTAAACTTCTTTATTTCTCATCCATGCTGCTAACTTGCAAAATATAAAAATGACCTGAATATTATGAAAAAAAACCAGCAAAAATAAGATCAACTGGAATATAGTTAAACAATTCATAATTACAATTCTTCATCAAATGAATTTAGACAATTTAAAACTATCTGCAATTATCTAAAGAAAAAAGTTAGAACTCCTCCTTTAGATTAAATCATTTTCAGTATAAGAATGAAAATATTTATGCAATCAACCACATTCTCTTTTTAATTCCTTATTGGGGTTGCCAGATTAAGCTTCAGCTAGTGAATTGGGCAACATAAAGCCTAAAATTTCTTATTTATTGCAAAGTTTATCACAATTTATTTCTACAAGTATCTTAAAAGTTCATGTAGTTAAATTAAAAAAAAATTAGTTGCACTGCTCTTTTAAAAGTAAGAGTCTGGCAGATATGGTCTCCAAAAGAATGTCTATTTTTGGAGATAACTACATCTTTTATGTTCTTGGAATTGTCTGAATTGAGATAACTGTTAAAAGGACAACATAAGATGGGGATGGGAGGAACAACAAAAAAAGAAATCTTTCTCCTGATGCATTTAAATGAATTCTTTTTTTTTCTATTTGTTTCAGGAGTGTTGGGTACAATTGCCAAATTGTGTAAGACATGTGTACTAAGAATAACGGCTGATAAACTTTATTTTATTCTCTTAGAAAAAGTTGTTTCTGGTGGAACACATACATGGTGTGAAGTCACTCAGGTAACAAACATTCTTATATGTCTGATCTGACTCTGTGTCATATTTTACTGAAAGTGTTAAAAATTTTGTAATATAAAAATGATCATAAAATGTTTCAACAAAAACTAAGCATTATTCTACAATTTAATTGAACTAGTAAACTAGTATTCTCATGTTTTTTTCCCCTCTCAGTATGTTTTTCAACCTTCATCAGGTGTATAATGTATCTGGTAGTCTGAAAGGAGATGTCTTTGGTTGTTCAGGAGTTCCATATAGCAAAAATTAACTGTATTTGGGTTTGTTCATTCATGCTAAAGATTTTCTTTGCTAAATCGCAAAATTTTCCTGTTTGGATGTGTGATTTGAAAAGTTTCAGTTAAGGAGGTTAAAATAAAAACGTTGAATAACAATGCAAAACTACTGGCTACAACAAACATCTGAGGTAGGTTGCAGAACACATTGACTAGAATTGTGAAATCCAAATAATTTGTAGAATAATGAAAATACTTCAAAGAACAATTTTTAAAAGCAAGAATGTTTCAATGGGGTTGTTTTTACATGTTAAATATGATGGAGGCAGTGGGACTGTGTGGAATATGAAGTCATTCAGCTTGTAATTCATGTGAATTCTTCACTTTAAAAACCTGTTTTTCATTCAGCAGATTTTAAGTATGTGAATGAAAACATTGCCTTCTAACAAGTTGCATAAACCAAATTTTAATGGCAGATTTTTTCTACAATTTGATGAACAAATCACTGTTTTTTTTATTCAGTTTAAGATGTGACTTGTTATTTTCTCCATCTTTCCCTCTATGAGTTCAAAAAAAATCTCAGGACAACAGATTCCTCTGAAATTTCAAATTTCTTGTCTAAATACAATGCAAAGGCCACTCTAAACTTTCTTATTTTTCAATCTCAATTCATTGAATGGACATATGAAAATTGAGTGGAAAGTTGGGAATACTAGAATATATGAAGGAGTGCTGCATTTTCATTAAACTTTTTCATACTTTGACAACAACTCAAAATACTGCTGGAGTACTCTGGCTAATTTGTAATGATGCTCCACCTACACACACACTTTTACCCCATGAAAAACCATATCTGTTCCTGGGGTCTCTGATGAAAGCTTTGTTGGTCATACAGCTGTTGTCTTGAAGCAGCTTGTAGACAGCCTGCAATCTGAAGGCTATCTACAAGCTGCTTATATATATATAATATATATATATATATATATATATATATATATATATATATATATATATATATATATATATATAATAGCACACATTGAGTGCTGGTGCTAATAAAAATAAAACTTGCATGCTGTCCTCCTGTTATACTTATTAATTAAATAAAACCAAATTAGCTTTATCAGAAGGCTACATTAAAAGTATTTTATACATTTTTTGTGCCCTGTCAAGGATGACAATGATAATAGCAGATAATTTAATTCTGATTTGCTCCAATGTCAACGTGCACATTCATTTCTCCAACAACCATCCAATATAGATTCATGCCTTCAACAGGAATATTAGTATAAAGAGATCATAAGAAGTCTATTTTGGAATTCAAATTCAGATTGTGATTCCATTTGCTTTAACCCTTATTATACCCTGCACCTATAAAACTAAAGTGCAAGTTACTGTTTAATGCTAAGCCTACATCAGGCAGGTAGTGTAACCATTATCAATTCAGAGAATGGAACTGGCAGGTTGAGTTCAAATTCTGAGTGAAGCTGGTGCATTCATTTTGTACTAATGAGCATGGGAAAGGTACAAATCCATCTCTCCTCTGCACCAGCTATGAGTCAAATAGTAGGACATTTAGTAGAGCTCTTGTGATTTGGTCAGGCAACCAGTGTAAGAAGAGAACCAACTATCTGACAACACATCAAGGACCCATGTGGCAGGATAAGGCCCATTATTTCTTAATTTTTACAGATTTGGGGGAAGGCCTAAATCATGCATGGAACTAAAAAAAAATGATGAAGTAAATAAAGGCATAAATGCTTTTAAGCACCTCAACTCTCAGCTATCATATTTTTTTAGCTAATAAATGTCCACAGATGATGCATTGTCGGGAATTCTTTCAAGGATTTCTGTAATTAAACCTAGTGTGCATAAAAAATGATTAAAATTATAATTTGTCCTTTATTTTGTCTGGCAAATGTTATTTGAAATGTCTGTCTTGGATATTGTAGGCCTTAAAGCAGAGAAACACAATGTAGTAATGACAGAATTCAGGTTAAATTATCTGTAGAAAAATATTATTATGGGTTCTCTGAATGAACACAAACACCACAGTTATAACACTAACACAAATCCTATTCTACATCTACTTTTGGTTCACCCTGTATATATATGTTAAATTATCAGTAGAAAATATTATTACCAATTTAAGTCTTGGCAATGTGAGAAAATTCCTTTAAAAATAATCAGTGATATTAAATGTATCAATAAATGAATGGAAAAATGATTATATAGTTGTTCACCAAAACTGTAGCAATTGAACAGAAGTGAAAATTTATGCACCCAATCTATATGTCCATTCAGCATAGTTGCAGTATTAACTACAAATTGGTTCTGTGGGTGTTAAAAAACACAAATAGGAATGAGCAACTATTCTGAAGATAAGAAATCACATGGATTTGCAGTGTGCCTTCAAGTTGAAGTAATTCTGATAATCTATACTATTATTCTGACAATTTAAATGCATAATTATTATACTTTTCTATCTATCTATCAATCACCAGCCCTTCTGATCTATACATTTATTGTACTACAACCATTACACATTTCAACATTCTGAGATCAGAATGTGTAGTCTCTGCCCATTCCCAGCCATTCAAGAAATGGATTGGCCAAAGAGGTCCAATTGATTGGCCTGTACGTTCACCTGACTTTATTCAATGGATTTTTTTTATTTTGGGGAGGACTCAAGGACAAAGTTTATAGTAAAAAACCATGAAGTGTTGGTGATTTGAAAGAAATTAAAACACAAAGATGCTTGTGCAAAAATGTTTGTCGAAGCATGGAAGGTAGACTTTGAAGCTGTTTAAATTGTGATGGACAGCAGTTTGAGCAACTGCATTGATAAAATTTTCAGTGATTTTGTACTGTATTATTGTATACAATAAAATTTAAGTGTATATGTAATAACTGCTTATCAAAATTTAATTGTATTAGAATGAAATCTCAAAATAAATATTATCATTCATTTACTGTCCATCTACTTTTAGTTCATCCTCTGCAGGTGTGTGAGTGTAGTTTAATAATAAATAAGGATTTTTTTTCTTTTGCCTTGCCAGTGCATAATTTATAATAAACTTGTATGCTGTCCTCCTGTTATACTCTTTTATATTCTGTTTCTTGACAGAGTCATTTCTTTGATGAATTCATGTTGGATGGTCTTTCTAAAGAAGATAATGAGATTTTCCTGGAGCTGGTTCCAGAGAATTTACTGAGAGCCATGAAAACTGCCCAAGTTGCTAAATGGATTAAAATAAAATTAACTAAAAAGCACACACCTTGCTTAACAGTAGAGGTGGATTTGGTGAGTTGATATTTGTTTTAACTTCTTGCTTTTGGCTTCAGGACAAAATCTAACAAGGCATTCTAAGAGCTTTTTCTATGATACCTACCCTCCTTTTTATTGCTACTATGATGTTTCAACAGACCCATTCTACAGTCTTCTTTTGGAGAAGTTATCATTTCAAGAATTGTTTGGACTATTGATATAATTGTTTTATTTGCTTCTTTTTTTTTTACAAATATAAAGGGAGTATTTAAAATTCTCAACTTAACCAGGAAGCCCTTCCTCTCAAATTCTGGTGTTTATTTAGAGGGTTGAAAACTCAGCAATACTGCACGTCTATTTTTGTATTACCTGGAATGAAATTGTCTCCCTTCTCTTTTTCAACACATTATGTGAAAGACAGTGGAATGGTTTAGGCAAAATAAAGTAACAAGAAAAGCAGGAAAAGAACTTAATATTTACATATGAACTATTGCCCTCTGTCCAGCCCAGGGATGAAACACATGATTAATTTGTCTCTATATTTATGAACCACTGCTTTAATCCCCTAGGCTATTGTCCTGAGGGATAAATATGAGTATTGAACATGGAATCTTAAATCTAACTTGCTTGCTGATGAGTGTTGCTGCTTGTGCTGGATGGCACTCCCCAATCTTTCTAATGTTACTGTTGCTTCTGTGGAAGTCTTGCTGTCATTTCTCTTTCTTTATTAATGGCTCCCATATTGTAATTATTAGGCCTACTAAAGAGGTCCTAAAAGCCTGGCATATATGCTAATTCTTTCAGATGTCTAACTCTCCAATGTTCCTCTCTGGCCAATATTCTCAGCATTTTTTCTCCATACATGATCAGCCATGCCTGATTTCATTGTTTCATTCCTAATGGTTTTTAGTGTTTGTCCAACCTTACTTTTAGCGGGCAGCTAGTTTCAACTTTATATTCTTTACTATGACTGCAAGGAATGGAATATACACAGTTGTTAGTCATGGTCACCTCTGTTAAGCTTGACTCAGCAGAGATTTTTCTCTTAGGTTGAAACTGCTTTTGAATATTGTCCTGATTTTGTTTGGGCTGCAGATCTGGATCTTTTGCAATAAGTCTTTGACATAAGTAAGACAGACCATGGAAGTTTTATGGTCCTCCTTGATCCATCTGTTTCTGCCTGTTGAAACTAATGTTGTGTTTACAGGGTGGTAATTATTCTGGAGGATATATATGATGCTAATTATTTTCTGGTGATATATTTGGGTTGCCACATGATCTTTACAGTGTTGTAGGAATCAGACGATCCCTATCTTTACAGAGTATGGATGGTGGGAATTGAAGTTAAACAATTGTGCAATGAATGTTGGTTTGTGATATACGGATGTCTTGAACCCATTCTTTGTGTGAGCTTTTAGTACATCCTGGAGGCTAGCTGATTATTGCTTTCTTCTTTCATTTTGAACTGGATTGAAGGTCATACTGAATTCACATATTCCAGCGTTATTTGTACAGCTTCCTGTTGAAGCTAAAGTATTTAGATGTCATCTGCATATCTCAGCCATACTCAATAGCTTAAACAACTGTTGCAATGTATTTTCTTTTTCATCTTCACCACAGCATGATTGGAACTGGCATTGTTGCTGTACTATAAGAAAAGTAATTAGTAATTACAATTAATTCACTTAAAGGTGTTATAAGAAGCAATATCAAGTCAAAATTTATATAATTACAAATAAATTGTTATATAGGAATAAAGTGTCACTGGTGACACTTGGGTTTGAACACGGATCGCCAGAGAGAAAAATGAATCTGCTATCAGCCAAACTTCAGAAAAATGAATCTGCTATCAGCCAAACTTCAATTATATTTGAAATTTAAAGTTAGCTTTACTTGTATGTCTACTAATTCCTAATTAGCAGGAGTCTAATGTTAAATGATTTTGGAACATATGCTGCATTTTATATATGTGGATGTGAATAAATGTGTCTTGCCAATAATTAACAAACTTACTCTGGTACAAGGCCAAAATAACAGTACCTTGTGAGAAGTAGGCAGGTATATAAAATATAAAAGTTTACAGGTTACTACACAATACCAGCTGCATATTGTAGATTTTGCAAGTAAACTATTTGATTGTTTTTAAAATGTGCTGCACCAATTTTTTAAGTGGGTAGAGCCTGCCAAGTCTTGAAAATCAACATTTGAGATCTTGCCATTTCTCTCGTCCTTGAACATCAGAGAAAAACACACAATTAACTCACCCTTCAAGTAGATATATATTTCTATGATGTAGGCAATTCAGATTTTATAAGTATATACTGACTTTTGTAGAGAGTACAAAGATTGTGCTATGTGAACCATGTATCTTGAAAATCAGTATTTAAAATGTTAGCTTTTTTTAAATAAAAGCTAGAAGTATAAGTGTGGTGAAATATACAACTATTTTAGCTACCAAGTAAGCTCAATGAAGAGGTATTGAAAACTACTCAAACTGACCCACTTCCTAAAATCTAACCAAATGGCCAAACATCTGTTTTTTGTTTGTTTTTTTTTTAAGGGTTTCTTGGGCAGTCTGAGAACTTCTCAGCACTTTCTCATATAAGTTTTTAGATATATTTGTATATTGAAAAGATTCACTATGGAATTTTCACATGTTTTATCCATGCACCATTATTACTGTATGACAAATACTGTGTGCAAATATTAGCTTTCAAATGCTATATAAATATTGAATTATAAATACTGCATGTAAAAGCTATATAAATACTGTGCTACAAATGATATACAAATACTGACCCAAATATTGTTGCAAACACTATATAAATACTGGGTTACATGTCCTATGTAAACACTGTATATATGTGATGTAAATACTAGGTTAAAATACTGCAAATACCACACAATGCTGTGCAAAACTTTTGGGCAACCTTGGTAAATTAATTACTTATGTTAATTTTACCCTGAAATCAAGAGTAATTAGCAGTATGATTCTCTTGGCACATATTCCATTAATTTGGAGGGCCAGAAAACCAGTTACTGCATTTTCATTAATACTGTATGGTCAATGATAGAGCATCTTAAACAGAGATGCCAAAAAGGGGCCATACAAGAATACTAGATCATCAGCAAAAATTTCACCTCTCAGCTCTTTTCTTAAATTAAAAAGGAGTGTTTTTTTTTTCTTTTTTGTATAAAGTGACCTTTATTATTACAGAAAGTACAAAACGTCAAAGTATAGAGTTAGTACTTAGTGTTGCTACCTTTGGCTTGATTCGATGTTGTATGGAATGGAACAAGTTCCAGATTTTCTCTTTGGATATTGTTTCTTCATTCTTAGAAGTAATCCCAAACCTCTTGAACATTGCTTGGTTTTTGTTGGAGCATTTGTTTCTTCAGTTCCCACCAAAATGGTTCAATTACATTGAGATCAGGATTTTGTGCTGACCAGTTTTCCAAAAGGTGAACATCTTCCACAAAAAAAACATTTTGTTGCACATGATGTGTGGTAAGGTGCACTGTCATGCTGAAAAATTTCTCCATTTTCATAGTCTGGTAGAAGATTAGAATATAGTAAACTAATATAGTTTAGATTTCCGTCGACTTTTACTAATTTTCTTTACCATCTCCTTTGATGCAACTTCAAATTCATATGTCCATTACCAAATTTTACTGTCTTTGTGTTGGTATCTTGCATTGTTTCTTTCTTCCACTGGTATTCTTACATATTCTCTTACATTCATGGCTAAAAATTACTTTTTATGTTTTTTCAGCATCCTTTATTAAATGTTCTTTGAACCACTTCCATCTATTCTGATGTTTTTTGGTTAATTATGGTTTTTTGCTGCTATATGTCTATTCAATTTGCTTTGTCATAATACTCTGTGTACTTTATCAACTGTAGTCTCACTGTTAAGATTGCATTCATTCCTCATTTGTCTGGCTGTTAATCTTGATTGGTTTGATTGATTTTGTTTAATGGCATATCAACCTCTATGGGTTATTTAATGCCGAAACTTAAACAACTTGAACATAGTTTTATGGCTTCAGCTACAGATAAAATGCATCGTTGGTTATTCAGTTTTAAATATCTATTGTTGGTAATTCTACTATAAATATGTATTTTTATACTTTTATAGTGTTTGGGGGTTCACTATTTGGTCACAGTGGAGGCCCTAACAAGTGCTACCATCTGTTAATTTTGGATTACCTACTGAAACTCTCATAATCTTTCATCTCTCTTGTCTAATCTTTGTGGTTTCCCGGGTTTTTTTTTTTTGGTTTTTTTTTGCACTTAAAACACTTTCTGGAAAATTCCCAGCCACTTGACTAATTGCCATTAAGTCATCTTCCCCTTCAAAGTCACAACTGTCATCTTTGTTTTAGCCATGATTTTAGTATTAAGATGAAGCTAATGTTCAACTACAATGACTTGCCATGTCATCTTACACTCATGGTAGCAAAATGGAACAATTACTATTTAGAAATCTTCCCCTTCAAATATAGGAAGTTGAACACCTACCTGATTTTGGGGCCCTATTTTGCAATATATATTGTAGATAATGGCTCAAAAATGACCTAAAAAATTATACTAATTTATGCCAATGATTCCATTTGGGTAATTTGATTTTAAGCCCCGTGCTAAGTATCTAATAAAAATTTCCTGAACAGTTATTTTTTATTCTAAATTTACATGACTAATCCAAAAATAACAAAGAAATTTTTGTAAAATCTACCGTTTTGGAGTTATTGACAATAAAAGTTCGGACTCATTTGTGTCATTATCAGCTACAGAATGGCAGCCATTATTGGTGTTGTTTGCATCAGTGCATGTGCAATAATCAAGACAAGTGAATGTCTTTTCTGCAGCAAATATATGCAAACAACTCCAGTAATGGTTGCCACGACGTGAATGAGTCCAAAATTTTATTTTTGATAGCTTCAAAAAGGTAGTTTATCAAAATTTCTTTAAGCATGTAAAATTACACATAAAAATAACGGGAAATTTTTATTAGATACTTAGCACAGGGCTTAAAAAGCAAAATTACCCAAAATTTCAAATAGTTGTATAAATAAATAAAAAAAAATACATTCATATTAATAAAATCATCAATGTCCATCAACTCAATGTTTAATAAAAAAAAGTCAGTGAGCTTCTTCTGCACCCTGCCATTCCTAGCTCCCAGCTGGGTCCTCCTGAGAAATGTTCTCAGGTGTAGGGTGGTGATTAGTTCCTCATCCTGCTGCCCTTCCACATACTTAATGAGCCAGTAGAGGTGGTCTACTGCATCAGTGTGGCTCTTTTCTGGTGCTTCTTATTCCTCCTCCTCTTCCTCTGCCTCCTCCTTCACCTCATCTAGGATCTCCTGGTCGGGCAGAGTCTGTCACAGGGGTGTCATCACCCTCCTTTACCTGGGACCACATGTCAACCCAGACCTGGAGGGTGTCTGCATCCAGGTGTTCCTCCAGCTGCTTTTGGGCTGTCTGGATCTCTGCAGCAGTGAAGCTATCAAATGGCACCACCTCTTACTCAGCATCCTCCTTGTTGAAGGCCCCACCCAATGTCTTCCTCCAACAGTTACTCATTTTTGCCTCAGAGACTGCCTCCCAAAGATCTGCCCATCTGGAATCCTCAGGGTGCTGGCTGCTGGGTGTGTACTGCAGTTGTCCGACTGCCTTTTCTGGTAGGTTCCTCGAGTGCGGGTGCCTCCTCACACTGGGGAAGAAGTCCTTAAAGAACCAGTTCTTGAAGATCTCAGCAGTCATCCAGCTCCTCACAGAGTTGGAAGTTACAGCACCAGGAGGGTGGCCATATTTATGTAGTGGAGGCACCTAGGGGATTGGAACTTTCCCACTGCCAAGGGCTTCAGCTTGTGGGTCCCAGCTGCATTGCAGGTGAACAGGATGTTGATGTGGTCCTTCACCTGCTTGAAACCCTCGGTCTTGTGGATGTCATCGTTCACAGCCAAGGTTCTGTCAGGTAGAATCTTGCAGAAGATGCCTGTCTTATCTGTGTTGTAGAACTGCTCCTTGGTCAGGGCCTCCTCCTCCAGGAACTCCTTCAGCTGCTCTTTCACAAACCAGGTTTAGTGTTGTCCAGCTGTTCATCATTGCCTGTCTGGGTTTTCTTTCTACACAGTCCTTCTGACCCATGGACAGTCTCTGTGAACTCGCAGCTTGGTCCCCTCCTTCACCCAATCCCTGAGAGTGGATTCAGATACCCCTGTATCACTGCTGCTCTTTTCCTTCATTTCACCATTCTGTATCCTGTCTATCAAATGCAGTTTTTCCTTTATGTTTAGACATTTTGTATTACTACTAGTGGTCAATTTTTCCCAGGAAGTCCTGATTGCAACCCCTAATTACTACATGCTACTTATACTTGTTTATTTATGAGAGATTTTTGATGTCTACTGTTGTAAAATTTGGGCTGTTTGATCAACGAAATCAAGGTAAAAACATGTAAAAAAAAAAGTGGTGTAATTATTAAAACAAATTAGGACCCATCTGGTGATCATTGTTTGTTCTATCATGAAGAAGATGGTCCAGAAGTTGGCAAAATAGGGTGGAATTTCTAAAAAAGTGAGCAATATTGAGGGTACGAGAGCAAAATCTTGGTGTACACCACCCACCTGCAGTACACCGAGTACCGCGTTAAACTGGTTCACCTAATAGCGGTGGACTACTGTATAGTAGTTCGCCCCAAACTTTTGCACACCAGTGTATATGACCAATGTAAAAATACTGGGTTACATTCATTGTATGAAACATTTTATAAATACTGATCTCCTAGTGCTATCTATATTTCTGAGATGAGGTGTTATAATTATTTACACTATTTACATTGTTCGGATTCTTGTCCTCATCTTTGTTGCTATAATCACGTTTCAACTGTTGTACACTCTGGCCTTCTTCAGGTGATTTGAATTTTGAACCAAACACTTTATTTCATCCACTAGGATTGTTCTAGTTCCATGTGCTGTCCCTCTTCCAGATATCTCAGTATTAATATCTCCCTTTTAGCTCAACTCTCCAAGTTTTTGTTCACCTCTGCTGTAGCCAGGTATTGAACTTACAACTCTTTTAAATCACTGGATTCGGATAATGCTTTAATCAACTGGGCCATGTATCCTTGAGGGTTTGCTTCGAAATTCCAATCATCTTATGAAAGCCAGAGAATGCAATGGTTGAAACATCATGAATATGGCAACAAAGGTGAAGACAACAGTCAGAACAATGTTAATAGTGTCAATGATCTCCAAGCATTGTAAATGAACGATGTATTGACTGACCTACAAACACGATAAATACTAACTTAACAAACATGATTCTTGATTGTGATTTTGATATAATTTACATTTATGTTGAAAAGATATAAATTCAAAGAAATGAAAAACAAAGTGTTTAATATTCACTACATTTAATCAAGATGTTTTATAGTCACAAATCATACTGAAAGCACCAGTTGCCATCAGCTGAACATCATCAAACCTGCTCACTACTAATATGGATGACCACATAAACAGCAAATGCTATAAACAAACTAAACACAGTTTAGTAAATGACTACAATTCTAATCTAGTGAATGTTAAGTGATGCTTCTATTTAAATATGTTATGGTGTTTATATCAGGACTAGCACTAGAGCCCGGCGTTGCCCGGGGATATAACAGTAAGAGATATATCAAGTATCCACCATCATAAAGACTGAAAAATAAAATTGACAAAGATTATTGTTTAAGGTTGACGGACACGCATGTCTTAATTAGTTTTTTTTTTTTTTTATTTCTTACGAATTGGTCAAACTCAAACAAAAACATTGTTTTCAATTGTTATGAGTCTACTGATTAAATAGAATTTTATTATAAATAATTGTCTTGTAAATGGAATTTTTAAAGCATTCTGAATGTTAAAAATAAAGAAAAAAGTGTGCAAGAGAATGAGAAGAACTACCTGCCAAAAAAAAAAGTGAAGTTTTGTTGAAATCGGTTGAAAAATGTAGGTAGCCTTTCTGTAATCTTTTAGTCTTACAATTTATGATTTTTACTTATTGAATACAGTAAAAAAAATTGCATATTTTGCTTGTGGTAATTCATAATTAGAATTCTGATTTGAATATATTTTCCATTCATTTCTAATACAAAAAATATTAACTTTATTTGGGTTTATTAATTATGATCTAAGAAATCTTATTCATTTAGTAGCCTTCTCTGTAATATATAATAATCTTTTACAATTTATGATTTTTACTTATTGAATACAGTAAAAAAAAATTGGAACCATGTGTATTTAAAGTAGTTTCCCGTTCCGGTTATTATTTTTAGTTAGGACTTGTGTATGTTTAGATTTCATTATCTTTCCCTAAAGATAAAGAATTTATGTTTGTATTCGTACAATCAGTAGAGATCGTTAGATTATTGTTTAAGGTTGACGGACACGCATGTCTTAATTATTTTTTTTTATTTTTATTTTTTACGAATTGGTCAAACTCAAACAAAAACATTGTTTTCAATCGTTATGAGTCTACTGATTGAATAGAATTTTATTATAAATAATTGTCTTGTAAATGGAATTTTTAAAGCATTCTGAATGTTAAAAATAAAGAAAAAAGTGTGCAAGAGAATAAGAAACACTAAAAAAAAAAAAAAAAAAAAAAAAAGTGAAGTTTTCTTTTTTTATCGGCTGAAAAAATATAGGAAATCCGATCCCATATTTAAAGTAACCCACACACACAAACAAACCGATGTGAGTTGTCCCCCTTCTATTTTCACGATGTCTCTTAATCATGTTTTCAAATTGATTTTGTGCAAAAACAATTATATTTTTCCCATTTTTGGCGCTGTTAGAACCACCACAAGCTAATTTTATGTAGTCCTGTGAAGTTTTGTTGAAATCGGTTGAAAAATGTAGGAAATCCGATCCAATATATAAACGTTACAGACACACACACACACACACACACACACACACACAATCTGTGTTTTATAATAAGTAAGATTACATGTGTAGATGTTGTTTATCTTTTTAATAGCCAACTGCCATTGGACTCAGTCGTAATGTTGTTCATTATATTTCTGTGACTGTGCTTCCCAAAAGACTATGGAGTGACTATGAGGAACCAGAAATGCCAGAATTTGATGTAAGCTTTTAATTATCCTTACTTTGATGTTTTGTTATAAAGAACTCATTTTTTGAACAATAAATGTAAATTAAAACCATAATATTTCTGCAGAAATTCTCATGTATTGGTTAACAAACAGATTACATGAATGCTTTGTTCCATCCAACAAGTTTCTCTCTCTCTCTCTGAATTTTGAATCATTCAGTGATTTCTGTAATGTCCACATCCTTAGTTCTGTATTTCTGTATTTAATGAAACTATTTTTTATTTTATTTTTTATTTTTATTTTTTGTAATTAATTTTATTTTTCTCCTCGATCTGATGTCTCAGATTTTGATTGCTTTGAGGACATTGCAATTAATTAATATTCTTTTATATTTTCAAAATATTATTAAAGACTTGTATATTTATTCTTATATACTACTCCTTTGAAATATATTCTGCATAATAGTTCTAGTTTAATAAAAGTTTTGCTAATTAGGCCAACTGCAAATAAAAGTGAGACTGGAGGACTGATTCTGTGGATGACAATGATTTACTATCTTTTCATGTTTACAACCTTGAAAAAAAATTGTTTAAACCTGGAATTAGTATTTTTCATTTAATCAAAACTATGATTCTGTTTTTGTTTTTATTTAAAATTCCTGATAGGTGTAAACATTGGCTGTATAATAAGTGTTAAGAGGAGGTATAAGGGATTCCTTTTACAAACCCTTTTGTATCCCTATTGGTGGTGGTGGGGTTGTTGTCTCCTATTTTGAGAATCATTCCTTTAAATTCTAATTTCTGACTCCCCATTCTTATTTACATTTTGGATACCTCATAATTTAGCATTCCAAAATATTATAGTTACTTTGAGTTTGTTCAGCCAGTTATGACAAAATACTAAGCAGATATTAAATTTAATAAAAACACAATTTGATTTTGTATTTTTTCTTTCTTCATATAAAACAGGTAAGCATTGCTTTGCCTGCCTTGAAGTTGCTCCGGAATGTTGTCGATAAAATGAAAAGCATGAGTAGTTATGTGGTAGGTACTTGTATTTCATTTCTTTTTTGCTGCAAGCTCCTTGGGTGTATTACCTTTCAGGCTCAAGTAGATTTTCTATAAAGAATCTGGTGATGGTATAAAACAATGCAATAAAATTGAAGTCTACATCATTTTGGTATTTGAAGTTGATTCTCTAATGTACATTTATTTTTAACTTCTCAAAGGAATTTAACACCAAAATAGCTTTTTATTATAAAATTGCTATAAAATAAAAAAGCATTAAAAGAAATAAATATTTTAAATAATCATCGCCCCCGCCCCACAAATGCTGCAAGTAAATTATCACCCCAACAAAAATAGTCATATGTTGTAAGTAAATGCTAATATTTGTTTGGATATTAGTTCAGAAGAATTAATTTTCTCTAATTAAAAATGTTTGTAAATTTTTTTTTTCTCTAACATGGAAGAAATCAAAAATAATACTTCCACCATCCCCCACCAAAAAAAGAAGAAACTAAATTTTAAAAATCACTACTTCAAATGAAATAAATCATTCCCCAACATGATAAACCTATAAATGTCTAAAAGATACTCCTTGAACAGAATTATTTTTGCTTTAATGTTAAAGAAAAAACAAATCTACAGTGTAGAGGGCCATGGCTGTTATGTTGTTGATAGAAGTCGGACGTAGAGGAAACGCATGTAAGGTTCAGATACTCCTGCCCGCCGGGCCCAACTACATAAAAAGGTTGGACTTTGATTAAGTCCAAAGAAGAAGGCAAAGAAAGCAAACAAAACACAAGACTGATAATATATGTATATACAAATATATATAAATAACAAGTTACAATACATGGAAACAGTACAAAGGACAAAGTGTGTGTGAATATTCTGTATGTGCGTGCGTGTGTGTGTATTGTGCTTAGCGTGTTTCCACGCTATCCCTTGTTAGCGCCTACATTTCGAGGTTGATAGCTGAAAACCTGAAGGAAAAAGAGAAGAGCTTTACCTCAAGGTGTTGGTGCACAGGCCTGAAGGAAAAAGAGATAGAGGTGAAGGGTCAGCGACTATTTATAGCCAGGGAAGAGAGACCCCTGGTGAAAGGGTTAACGGACTGAAGGAGGAGTTAACTCCGAAAACAGTTCGAATTTTTCTTTGATACAAGCTCCCAACCCCAAATCTGCTTAACAAGAGACAAAAAGTGATGATAATCAGAAAGTAACATATCTGGGGGAATAGAATGGGTGACTGCAATGTTATTTTTTTTAGTCCCCAGGGAAATGTAGAAAATACATCTTTTACTTGTTTTGGTTACGGTTGAGTTTTTTCTCATTTATTTGATAGCATAACAGTTAACAATACAGAAAATAAAAATGCCAAGCCAAATTCAAATTCCAGCTGAAGCAGTTTATTTTACAGCCTTTGGGAAAGGCATAAATCTATTTCTTCTCCTCTATCTCCCACTCTATGGGTTAAATAGTAGGGCATTAAATATTAGATATTAAAGAGAAGAAAGCTGTGGCATGGCACTTAAGTAATGAAGAATTCAAACAAGGGTTGAAGTTTCTTATTTTAAATTATCCATGTCAAATAAGGAACACACTTTATAATCACTGACCTCCTTTGACCATATGGAAAAGCAAAGAATTATCTGATAGAAAATATTGCTCCTTGTATGTGCTTATTACTCACTATTCATTTCATGGTGAAAAACCATGTCACTATGTCCTTTGAACACACAATCTTTAACTTTTATTTTTTATTAAGCCATGTTGTTGAATATATTTTATAAGGTAGCAATTTCTGACCAAAGCCTTCCAACCTTTCTTACTTTTTGCACATAATATAAAAGCATAAAGAAAAGGTATTCTTTTGCAACAGAATCATGTTTGATACTTACTTCAGAACTTGCTTTAGAATTTCTGTGACTGTTTTAGTTAAAAGCAACTCTTAATGCTCAATATCAAAACTATTTCACCACCCACAATTTTGTTGATGAAACTCATTTTTGAGTTTCCAGTCAAGCTTTACCTGCAGTTAGACATCTGTGTGATGGCTTTGAGAATTCCCTTTTTACCAGTGTAATTTCATTGCTTGTACTGAAGCTTACTACAAGCATCTGACATGGTAGTTGTAGAGTCAATAGAGATCTTCCAGATATCATCATTTGTAGAATTATTGCCTTTTATTATTTGGGGAAATAAATTATTAAAAGTTAGCTGCTGAATTTTTTTTCTCAAATTAAAGTTGAGCCATTAATGCGAAAATCTGAAATTCTTTCCTTTTATGTAAAACATTAAGTTGAATAAAATTAGTCTAATGCTTACTGGGGTGATGAATAAGATCATTTTGCTCTGCATGTTTTTTTAGACAATTTATTCTAACAATCTATAAAAAAAATAAGATTTTTCACAATGACTCTTTTTAATAAAATAACTGATTATTGCAAAGAAAATGACAGAAATTTAAATTATAGAAATTAAAAAAAACATCAAATTTTTGGTAAATATTTGAAGTCTATCCAGAATGAATCAAATTATTTTGAATCTTTAACACAAAAATGAATAAGTTAATACACTCCTGATCAAAAATTTAAGACTATTTGAAAATTTTTTATAAGAAACTGTTTGTCATGGATACATTATAAACTTTTTCTTACTTAAGGTTACTAAGTCTATAATCTAAAAGGTTATGTAGACAAAAAGTTATAATCCGATCACTTTATTCTGAAATGGACATTTTTATAAAATGAGGCGATTTACACTTGATCAAAATTATAAGATCAGGGGGTATAAATTGTTAGATCTAGGGTAATTCCAATATTTTTAGTTCAGTTAGAGATTAGCAATCACTGCGTAAAGGTGTCATCATGCCTAATGCAAGCAAACTTACTGAAGTTGAGCGTGCTCGAATTCTAAATTTCCATAATCAAGGTTTGTCACAGCGGGTGATCGCAGCTAAGGTAAATTGCAGTAAAACTGATTTGCAACTTTCTAAAGGACAGTGCAAATTATGGAAATGCAAAGTCTACTGGTAGGCCCCAAAATATTTCTTTGTCATTGAGTAGGAGAATAAGACGGGTTGTTGTGAAAGCCAGTGGACTTTCTTCTAGTCAAATTAAGGCAGCCACAGATGCCGATTGCAGTCTAGTAACCATCAGATGACACTTACGACAAAAAGGCATGGTAAATAAAAAATGCAAACATGCTTCCATGTCACAAAGTGAACCGTTTAAGGTTTGGTCGTGAATACCAAACATGGGACATTGAGAAGTGGAAGAAAGTCCTATTTTCTGATGAGAAAAAATTCAATCTACATGGTTCTGATGGCTTCCAATGATATTGGCATAGCAAAAACATGCCTCTTGAAATTTTCTCCATGTCATAGTGGTGGAGGGTCCCTAATGGTATGTAGTGCCTTTTCTTACAGAGAGAAGATGGAGTTCCAGGTGGTGCAGGGTCGTCAGACAGCAGCTGGTTATGTTAGAATGCTACAAAAAGCATCGTTGGTGACAGAGGGCCATCGTTTGTGTGGGGATGGATGGTTATTCTAACAGGATAATGCTGCAATCAACACTGCATGCCAGACCTTGACCTTTCTACAAGAAAATTGGGTCCATATCTTGAGACATCCTGCATGCTCACCAGACTTGAACCCAATTGAAAATGTTTGGGGATGGATGGCAAGAGATGTTTATTGAAATGGCAAACAATATTCAACAAAAAATGAATTTCATGAAGCTATCTTCAGAAGCTGGAGCAATATTCATCGCAGCTTAATGGAAATACTAATTTCTAGTGTGCCCCAAATAATTTTTGAAGTCATCAAAACCAAAGATTATTAAATTTGGTTGTTGAATGTTTTCATACACTTTTCGTACAATTTCGTAGAATTTTTGTCTCTGGTCTTATAATTTTGATCAAGTGTAAAACACCTCATTTTATAAAAATGTCAATTTCTCAATAAAATGTTCAGATTATAACTTTTTGTCTACATAACCTTTTAGATTATAAAATTAGTAACCTTAAGTAAGAAATGTTTAAAGTTTTTCCATGAAAAACAGTTTTTTTTTTTTAAATTTCAAGTGGTCTTAAATTTTTAATCAGGAGTGTATTTTTGGTAGTCTTTTGCATTCAAATTTCTAATTCTGTTGGAAGATTCCCTTTTCAGTTTTATGGTAGGCTATAATGATAAAATTATGATGCCAACAATAATTACAGAATATTTCTGTTGGCTACCAACAGTCAGGTTGCAAAGGAAAACCACTAAATGAACTTTCAGGAAAAGTATAATGAACATAAAAGTGATGTATAAAACATTTGTCAATAAAAACATCTTTCCTTGTTCACAAAGTCACTATTTTTGTAAATGACAACTAAAACAAAAGTCTTTTAAATATTTTTATTTGCAAAATTTGTGAAAAATCTGCACAAATCCTTATTCTCAATACAATCATCTTTTTGTAAAATATCTGTTAAATATTATATCCTACATGTTCAAAATTAATGAAAGATGTAATAATTAAAACAAAATGAATCTTAAAATGTAAGCAATTTTAAATTACCAATTTAAAATTGCTTACATTTACAAAGTGCTGAAAAGTTTTAAGCCTGACCCATTTTCCAAAATTGACCAAAAATCATATTTTCGTTTATTTTTATTTCTATTTTATTTATTTATTTATTGGCTTGTTAGGTCAAAAACTTTTTACCATCTTGTAATGATTATATAATTAAAATATTAATTTTTAAGGTGGTTCCTCAATCTCAAGAACTGTAGGTTTTTTGAGTCTGGTATATTCTTAACTGTATTGTGATATATTTTTCCAAGAACACATTAGGTATTTTAGATATTTGCTTAGTCTGACACAAAACTACAAGTGAACAGTAATTGTGGTTCATTAGACAAACTCTCTATTAAGACATTTTGTTTGTTTTTTTCCCAAATTTAATGTCCGATATTGATTATATCCAATTTAACTGTAAAGAGGAATAACACTGATATCACTTGTTTTATTGCCTATTTGATTAACTTTATCAGTGAACTTAATTTTTTGTTTCATATGCTAGATTCATTTACTATAAAATCATCTTGGGAAATAAAAGGTTTGACTTTTTAATTATTATGATTATTAGAAAGCATTACTTAAAAGATACTTTTAATTTTCAGATTATTTCAGCCAACCATAACGGTGAAATGAAGTTACTGACTGAAACAGAAGTAGCATTAGTCTGCACCTACTTTAAGGACTTAGCTAACCCAACCTGGAGTAAGTGAATCCAATTCTTGTTACTGTTTATTTTTATTGAGTGATGTCTCAATAACTTGAGTATTGAACTGGAGGTCAAAAGAGTTATAACTAAATTCTTTTTACTTATTAAAAAGTGATACTTAAAAGAAAACTTTTTAAGTTAACTTTGCTGATGTTTTATTTAATCCTATCCAAAATTTCTTATACATACAATAACCTTATTCTGTAAATAAAATTTAACAATCCGTTTTTCCTGAATTTTCAATAACGACTAATCAAATGCCAAAACTTAACTAAAAAAAGATTTTATGTAAAAAATTCGTCAAATGTTTTTCTACTGACTGAGGTATTTAATTTGTTAAAGCAGAAAATGACTAAAATCAAGTTGTGTGGAATAATAGTGGTAAATTAATTGGGCACTAATAAAATTTGAAATGTTTCCTCCATATACCAGTCAATACTAAAAACAAACTGATTATTTTTGCATATTCCAATTTTACCACAATTTGCAGAATCTTTATAAATAATGAGTAAGGCTTGATATATTTAATAAATCCTACCTATGATATTGTGACACCGTCTGGTGGTCGCAGCGCCAATATGTGACGTCCTCTGGTCACGACGCCAATATGTGACACTGCACTGTCTGCCCGTGGTCAACTCCCAGTTGTGGCATGAAGCTGTAAGGTTTCTTCCACCAGCGTTTTGGGGTTGACTCCTTGCCGCTGCCACCAGCTCACTTCCAACATCTGGTTATTGAAGTAACTACTTTAATCTCAAGTCTAACCTACCCACGTTGTAACATTGATCTTGGGTAGACAAAATCAATCAGGTGTTGGCCGTGGTGCAAGCCGAATCTGGGGTGAAGGTGATATCGCACAAGCGTAAGTAAAAGAAACAACAAAACAAAACTCAAGAGGTTCAAGTATGTTGAGAAATAACAAATTATCTTTATCTGTCTGTTATATACAGGAGTGTGTTTCTCTCCCAGCCTGTTTCTATGGATTTGTGACACTTTTGCATTTCTTAAGCAAGTTTTGGTATCTTAAGTCGTTCGTCAATATAACTTGCTTTTGGTAGGAAGGTGAAGTCGAAAGAACATGGAATCTCTCGGTCAGCTTCTGTGAGGCAACACTCTGCTACTTCGAACTCAACTGCTAAACTGCTCAGGGACGTTCATTAATATGGGTACCGACCAAAACAACTTCTCCTCCTTTCTCATACATTCACCTTCGTCTATCACTCATGCTACCACTTGACCAATGATCTCTCGACAGTGTGGCTAGACTGGCCTTCTTAAAATTATTATCCAGAATTTTATTTACAAAATTCTCTTTTTCTTTTTCCCATCCGCCAAAACCTCTGTGCTTCCATCCATCACTGTCAAGAACCCGACATCTGGCTTCTCCTCGAAGTCAACTTTTAACTGGGGGTCTGTGTTTACTTGAGAAATCAAATTCTTTATTTTCTCATGCCTTAAAATTCTCTTATTACCAGATGCCCTTTTTGATGACGCTGTATCCAACATCGACACCTTGATAAAGTGACAATAATACTTCTCTCCACAATTTTCTTTCTCATGCCAAAATTCTTATACACACCAGATGGCCTTTCTTTGCTGGACCCAAGAATCAAAAAAAATATCTTTGAAAGATAATTAATATTGATTCTCTCTGCCTGTATCGCAGTCGTCTCGAGCCAAAATTTCTTTATGACTGCCATGTGTTGGCCGGCTTTGTTTTTCTTTCTGAATTCTGTTTTCTTTGGCGCGACATTCCCTTACCATGACATTAATCAATTTGATAGAATCCCACATCTCATTTTTCCTTATGGATTTTCTGTCTTTTGCAAAAAGTATCCTTTTTTTCTTTGTAAATAAAATAAAATCTTTTTAACGTTGCTTAGTCTATCTTTTGATATAGCTCTTTCTCGCTTTAAGTATTTCCTGTTTTTAATTTCTATGGTTAATTAGCTAAACAGTGCCACAATATCACATATTGCATAAGTGATGAATTTTAAATAAAATCCTAAGACTAGATTAAGTTGTCTGCTGTGATATGCAAAGTAGATGCTATATAAGTTGGAAGCTTTCTACATTCAGTAGTGGTGTTATCATTCCTTGACTACGCTGCATACTTGTGAGAATTATACATGACACAACAAAATAATGTTGCCAAGTGGATATCAAACTTCGTTAGAGGATCCTGAGCTTGTGGAGATATGGATGGGATGTTTCGCAGCATTAGTGAGAGTCAAGAAATTGAGTAACAGCAAAGATAGAAAAGTAGTAAATGAAGTAACAGATTTATTTGTACCATCACTGAGTTGTGAGGCTGTAAAAAAGACTTCCATAATGGTCTATTCAAAGGTGCTAAAACACTTGACATTTGAAGAAATTGCCAATATTGTACAAGCAAATGTAAGTCCAAAAAAAGAAACTTCAAGTTTCTTGAAATTTGGCAAAACCTGGATGAAACCATTAGACAGTACATTCACAGGATAAAAGCATTGAGGTACTGTGAATTTGTAAAGTTGGGTACAAGATTGATGTCTATTGAAGAGGAATTAATACAGTTAAGGCTAATTGAAGGACTGTATAACGTCTCAAGTAAGTACAAAATTTTAGAACAGCTTCAAGTTCAGGACATAAATATTGAAATGAGTTTTGAATTTTTATAGCAGCTAGACTTAATTCAGAGATTTAATACCCCTAAGTCTAACATAGAGAGATACAGTACTATGGAGAGTTTATGTAAATGTTATTTTTGCAATAAAAGACATGAAATGAACAAGGATAAATGCCCGGCTTTTGGAAAGATGTGTTTTAAGTGCAAGAAGTGAAACCATTTACAGTAAGTGTACAAATATAAAAATCCAGTAGAAGTGGAAAAGGTAATTTCTTCAAGAAACACTGAACTTTATGAAGTAAAAGTGTGAGACAAGATTAGAGAAAGAATAAAAATAATTGGAATAACCCTACTAATGCAAGTGGATGGATCAGTTATTAAAACACTTGGATGCTTTGAGGTGGAGCTGCTCGAGACGAAGACTCAATTCGAGGTAATACCAATCATAGTTGTGGAGTGCATAAAAGATCATCGTCTCCTGAGGATTGACACATTAAGAATAGACACCTCAAAGTTAATTAATTGCGTGAAATTAGAAGAACCCGAGATTGGATTTTTAAAGGATTACAAAGTGAGTGTTTAGCTGAAAGAGAATAGTCAACCAGTATATTTTCAGTTTTGTAAAGTTATGGTTCACCTTTTGTCCATGGTTATGGTGAAACCTAATAAAATGATTGAACAAGGAATACTGGAGAAGGCTTCTCCAATCATGGAGATTTATGGTGACTACAAAGTTGATATAAATCACCAGATATGTTCGGACTCCTTGCCATTGCCAAATATTAAAACAGTCTGTCACAAGTTTGTTGGCATAAAATTTTTTGCCAAGATAGATCTGGAATCGGTGTATAAACAGATTAAAATTGATGATCATTTTCAAGAAGTCACCACAATAAAAACTCTTATAGGTCTTCTAAGGTGGACTTGTCTGCTGTTTGGAATTAAAACTTCCAGCCACATATTCCAAAAGGCTATTGAGAAAGTTTTGGAAGGAGTAAAAACATCATTGTCTATCAGGACGACATAGGTATTGGCACTCATACTGAGAAGGAGCTAAAGAATAAAATGGAACAGGTTCTGAGCAGATTGAGTAATGAAGGCATGATAGTTAATCAAGATAAGTGTAAATTTAACTGTGAGAAAATTTCATACTTAAAATATCAAATAATCTCGCCAGATGACAGATTTATTAGTAAAATACGCGAAATAAGTACACTTAAAAATAAGAAAGTTAGAATCTTTCTTGGGTTTGACTAACTTCTATAATAAATATATACCTTAATATAGTGACATGGTTCAACCTTTTGTGAGCTTGAAAAAGAATAATGAATTTCAGTGGTCTTCAAAAAGCTAAAGGAATGACTTAGAAACAAGCCAGTAGTTATTTGACCCAATGAAAGAACTCACATTAACTACCGATGCTAGCAAATGTGCCATAGCAGTGATCTTATCACAAGAGGGACATCCTATTATGTATTTGTCCAGAAATTTAATGGCAGTGGAAACAAATTATTCTAACAGTGAGAAAGAAGCATTGGCAATTGTCTAGAGTACTGAAAGTGTGTGCAATTTGTTATTGGATAAGAAATTTTTACTAAAGCCGGTTCACAAACCTTTAAAGTTCATTTTCAACCCAAGGAAAGAGTTGCCTGAAGTCATGTTGTCCAGAATTTTAAGGTGGGCAATTAAGCTTATGGCATTTCCATATTATGTTAATGAAGGAAATGCCATTCCGCATGTAGATGCATTGTCAAGATTGAATTTTAATAACCAGAATGTTGAAACAAAGGACAATTGTGTGGACAGAATTTTGCACTGCGTAGTGGCAGATGTGTTATCCTTCAGGTGGCTCAAGTTTGAAACCGAGCAGGATCCTGTATTAAAGAGTACTGAGTAGAATATGGAATAATGTATGGAGCAGTTGCTCAATGGCAGAAAGGCCTTTTAAGGAAGCAAGGCACAGATTGACAATTGAAAGAGGAGTCATATGTAATGGAGATCTTATTGTAACACTGAAGTCATTAATATGTCATTAAAGCAGGATAAAATGACATAGTGGTGTACTGAACAGGCAAATGAGGTTGAAACTACAAGCCTGGTGATTGGGATATATGCAAGATGTGGAAGATTATGTCAGAAAATGCCCTAAGTGTACAAAGATAAAGAACTTTAGATAAACCAAGATTCACTCATGGCCAAAAGAGAAGGAATCATGAATAAGAGTACACATGGATCATGCAGACTATTTCTCATACTAGTAGACTCATATTCAGGTTCAGACAGAAAAACAAGTACAGTAAAACAGGTGTTAAGAGTAGTATTTTCAAGGAACAGAGTACACAAGATGTTGGATAATGTACCAGAGTTTGCTGAAGAAAGTTTATGTATGTGGTTAACACAAATTGGATGTAGGCTATACAAAACCCCCATAGCATCCTCAGCCAAATGGAATTGCAGGGAGGATGGTCCAGACAATAAAAATTGGATTGAAAACATTTTATCCATGGAAAGTCAGACTAGAATGTTATCTGTCAAAATTACTTTTAAGTTACAGGACCATCCTGCATGCAAGCAGAACACAAAACCCCTTGGCATTGATAGGAAGGTAAATTAGAGCCCCAATAACCATGTCATTCTCAACAAATGAGAATTTATGGTACAAAAGGAATAAGGATTTGAAACCTGAGAAAACACAATTTGTAGTGCAAAAAGAATTTAATACAGCAATATTAACAAAAAATGGACAGGGTGTGTTAGCTCATGAAGACCAATTTAGATTGCAAAGAGAGCCAGAAGATATTGAAATTGTGGCAGAGACTGGTGCTGAAGAGAGGGATCAAGATGATCACAAAGATTTTGAGAGTGAAGAGGAGGAGAGAATGAGTGTGTCTAGTGAGAATGAGGAACATAAGGAAGGTTCAAGTGAAAATCTGTTAAGACCAAGATCTCCCACAAATAGGAATCTTGGCAATCACCATGAGACAAGCAGTACACCTCTAGGCATTGTTCGTAAAAGTAAAATATCTACCAAGTTCATCAAGCCTCTAAGAGATGTAGCAATATGCAAATTACGTTGTATATAAGTGGGAAGCTTTCTACACTCGGGAGGTAGTTATCTTTCCTTGATTACACTGCGTACTTGTGAGATTTATAAATGACAACAATATCAATGTTAGTAATTGTTAACATATTTTATAATTAAACATTTTTTTTGTATACAAGGCTGAAAGTTACTTCACTATGTTATTATTTTGATAGTACAGTTATACTTTAACTTGCTGAAGTATTTATCAAAACAAATTGGAATGTTTTGTTTTTTTGTTTGTTTTTTTTTCCTTAAATGATTTTTGAAATTTGGTTTTTACTGTTACTCTTTTTCTCCTGATAAAAGTTAATTTTCCATACCAAAACCAAAAATTCTTTGAGATTTAATCTGTGTCCAGCAGCTGCTATAATTTCTTATCTGGAATAAATAAATGATTAAAAATGAATGAAAGATACAAAGAAATGAAATTTTATTAAAAGTTATCTGAATATTCAAACTGAAATATAATTGTGTTAATTAAGTAACTTCATATTGATTGAATATATTATCAAGTTGACTATGAGGGTAAATGTTTTTTGTTGTTATTGCCTGGACATGTATAATACAAGAATCAATACACTTATCAAACCTTGTACATTATTTTGGCTCCTCTGCAACTGGAAAAATATCTAATTTGCAGAATCTTTGCAATTGTTTTTTGAATTTGTATCTTTGCAACTGTTTTTTGAATTTGTGTATTATTAGGAGCCCAAATTAGCCCAGTTTATTTTCAAAAGTAACCCAAAAAGTTCCAAGGAGCATAATTCAACATTTTTAATCCAATTTGGCAAATCTGAATTGGCCAAAAAAAGTGGCATCTGAAAATAAATTCAAATGAAACTATTTTTTTTTCTTTTTTCAGTTCATAATCATTTTGCTTTTGTTTATAATTTTGTTTTAACAGAATCAGGATTAGATGCTCATTTCTTTCGTTCTCCACACAGAAGTAATGTTGACAAACGAGAATTTTTTGATGTCAAGGTTGATTGTAAAAAATTGGCTCAATTCTTAAATGTCCAACAACTGTGTCCATCCCGTGTGATTTGCAGTAAGTATTCAATAACTATTTCAGGTTAATTTTAAAATCTAAACAATAAAAGCAATGCTGCAAAGCACATATCAGTTATACAGTGATTCTTTTAAAAAAATTTCCTCATTTTTATTTTCAGTTTATCACAATATTTTTAACTTCATTTACTCCATTGTTCTTTATGTAAATTCCAGGAATGAGGTATCGTTATGATTATCCATTCTTTTGAATTTGTTTCCTCATTTCGTTTTTCTCACAATGTTGTGACTGCTTTACCCTCAAGTATCTTCCGTATTCATAAACTTCCTGGAATATCAAACAAAACCCACTATTTTGTCCATAAGGGTAAGCTGTTATCATGTCTTGTGTCCTTCCTAAGAATTCAAGATTTCATAGATTTACAGTCACATCATGTTGAAACACCATTTCCTGTATGATCACTGAAGTTAAGCAACATCAAACCTGGTAAGTACCTAGACCGGTAACTGCTTGAGAATACCAGCTGCTGTAAATTTGCATATGCAGGTGGTGAATGGATAATGGCTCAGAATTGTTAATCAGGAAGCTGAATTCCAATTCCATTTGGGTTCATTATATTCACTTATGTGCAAATACTCTTGGAAAAAAGTATAAATCCATCTCATCTCCACCCAGCTATGGGTTAATTAGTAAGACATATCACTAAAACCATTATTATCTCCAAAAAATAAATAAAATATTTCGATTTCAGCATTAAATAATCCATAGAGGTTGATCTGCTGCTAAACAAAAGCAACCAACCAACTAGATTTCATAAGCTTACAGGTTTTCTTCTGATGCCAATCGGCTTCTACACTGAATCTATGTATATTTTTGCACTACCTGAGGTGGGGATTGAACTCATTACTTATAGGGAACTGCATAAGCTTTAGCTGTCTCTCATCTTCTCCAGGGATGTTTTTCAAACTTAATTTTCCTATGTTTTGATAAATGAATGGATCAGATATAGGGTTCTGTTCAACATTCTAAATGCAACAAACATCTCTGTAAGGTCAAACAGTGCAGTATCCAAAAGACTGTAATAAAAAAAAAAAAAAAAAACAGAGACAGGGAAACTAATCTAAATTAATGTCACATTTTCTTCAAGTTCCATGTACCATCAGGACATGATTCTTTGCTACTTTCTTTTATGTTAATATCTGTTCAAGGGGAAAATAATGTAGCAATTTCTCATTGCTTTCTCTACAGTTTTGAGATCGAGGGGAAGAACAAAACCTCAATGGTTAAATTTTGATTTTACAACTTAGAGAAGATGCTCTGTAACATGAGAATTGAGTTTTCAGAGTTTTTTTTAATTTTATTTAAAATAAAGAATTTAATGTTTTTTAAATCCTCCCCCCATCTATTGTTTAAAGAAAGAGAATTATTTCTGTTTAAAATTTAATTACTGTGTCTTATGAGGTAATGTCAAAATTAACCTTTTATATATTATTGGAGATTAGTATAACTTATCATGATTACATTGCATGTAAATTATTGTTCAATAAATATAAAATTAAGTGGCTTGCTGGCCAATTATAATGTTATTTTGCTAATTTTTTTCTTTATGAAGTATTCTGTAGATTTCTCCATTTTGAGGTCAGTTTTCTAAGAAAATAATGACTAAAAATTATTTTTGTATAATTTATAAAAAATTTTTTAAAATCTAAAGATGTATGTTTTCATTGTGGTTGGACTATAAAATGCCAGATGAGTCACAGTACGTTATGTGCATTATGTGAACAGTTGTAGCTGATGGATGGCAGATAAGTCAATACCTGATCAGTATTGGATTGGTCACAGTGGAGAGGGGGTATGATGTTGAAAGACCCAAAACCCTTAATGATCCTCAGCTAGGAATGTCACTGAGGATGTATGCCAAAGCATCAAACCAATGTATTTCACAAAATTTTAGGCTAAAAAATTGAATGGATGAAAGGACAAGTTAATATATGATTTATTGAAAATGTGTTACAATTTTTGCTGACTGTTAAAAGACACTGTTTTCTTCCCAAAAGTACCCACTATGCTGGAAGGCTAAACACTAAAAATTAAATGTACATTGTAACAAGTAGAAATAAGCATTCTGCATATATTTGTGTGCCCAGAAATGGTAATGGTAATATTAGCCATTTTCTTATAAGGAAACACTGGGTATTCATAAACCAAACAGTCAGTGCTATTATTGGTTGAAATTCATAAACTCATTCTATTATCATTTTTTCTGAAAAATATGTTTCTCAAGTCCAGTAACTGTTATAGTTCTCTCCAGCATTGATGGAGGTTTCCATCCTAGCCTTTTATACAAAGTAATGTGGAATGTCAACATCTTGATTATGTCATTATTTTCTCTTCAAGTTACACCTGATATCCATATTAGTTGTTGTTGAAAGTCTGCTAGTAATGTTTCTGTTATTTGGTACAGTACTTTGTGATTCTGTAGTAGCAGTCCACAAAGTTCAAAAAAGGATGATCTTCACTAAGATCTGCAGGATTCATTTACTTGAAGCTATTTTCAACCATGGTTCTGAGAAAATGGTGGCATACAGCTGATGTTTTAGATATTTTGAACAAATTTGACATAATCTATATAAGTCTTGATCTGATGAGGCTATTGAAGACCATGAATCGAGTGTATAGGTTAATGTTTTGGTTTTGTAGTAATTTGCGGTGATGGACAAACTTACCCTCAGCACAACCTATTCTATATTCAATTTCCTTATCTGCTATATTAAATTTGTTATAACTGATCTAACACCAAAATATTTCAAGTGTTTATCGTAGTTTCTTTTTTGGAAAGTTTATCTTGAGTCCTCTTTCTTGGTAAAGAATGTCAACTATGAACTATATCATCATCAGTACACTGGCTCTGGGTGAGGAAAGCAAAAATGCCTGTTTCTATTAAATCTGTTTGAGATGCATGGAATTCTTAAATGATCAGTGCCCATCTTTTCACATCTGTGCTTGTATCTGCACAGAGGATAGTCCAGAAAGAGATTAAATAGATTATGGCTCTCATTTACTCAGTGTTGTATTCCTGATCAGGTCTGAAATTTGGGATTGGGTTCTCACCAGACATATATAACTTTGTGGACCAATATAGTTCCACTATTAGATTTATACATTTAGTGGCGTTAAAGCTTGGAAGATGGTTTCTAATGGATGAGAGGAGTTGACTTTCATAGGATGATGAGAGGCTAGTTAATACAATGTTTGTTAGTACTTTCATCATAGTGGATCCAACTGAGATACCTCTGTATGTGTGAGGGTTTTGAGGGCTACCTTTTAGTTTTCAGAGTGCATTAATGTGCAATATACTCCACTGCTTTAAGATGTGCTTGCATTTTCAAATTTCCTTCAGGAAATTTGGCAATAGGATATGCTATTTTCAAAAGTTTAGCCTCAATGTCAAGTGATGCTTTATTATTTAGTTTTATAGCTTTCTTGACTTCTTCATTACTAGGTTTGTTGTTGTTTATGTTTGGAAACACTTTGTAATGTTCAGATTTATACTAGTGCATATTTTATTTCTGTAGGCATCTCCAGCTTAGAGTGGTCCGAGTTAAAATGTGACTCAGTGTTTTTTGAAATTAGAACATTTCTTCTGCTTAGGTTTTGATTGTATGTTATCTGGAATTTTGCTTTTCAGCATATAATCTATGCTGTTCTGGTTTCCAATTTTCCAAAGATATTCATTTCTCAGAGAATTAATAGTTCTTTGTTTTTTTTTTTGTTTTTTTTTTCTTTGTTAATCATGTCGTATTCTCCTTTTTTTCCCCCCTCTTCTGTCTGTTTTTTTTTTTTTTTTCCTTCTATCAATTTTTCAATTGAGGAATTTTCACCCATAGCAGAATCTTTTTCTGTCTAGATATTCTTGGAATGGGATCCTTTTCCATCTACTGTTGCCGAGCATATATTATATCAGACAGAAACTATATTTGGCAAATTACAATTGTATTCTTAATTTTTGCTGGTTATTTGATATTTCTGCCTTTCTTTTTTGACAGATCTCAATGCCAACCACCTGATACATGTGACGCTGCTACATGATGATTTCTCATTACAGTATTTCATGCCTGCTGTGGTATCTTAATGACAAAGTAGGGATTTTAAGGAGAGAGAGGTTACACTAAAAATGTTAATAGTCATCTTGACAATTGTGATTCTTTCTCTATGTGATAAATGCTCATCTGCCGCTAACATGACTCACAAATTATCTTTCTATGGAAGAGATTGTTCATGCAATCATTTTCCTGTCATCTCTCAGGATTACATACTTTATGGGGCTTTATAATTAAAATGAAGGAAAATAAAAATGTCACCTCTAAGTGTTGACTTCTATGTTCACTTTTATATTTACAAACGCTCTATCTCTGATATTGAGCACTTTATCCCATAAATATAGCACATCTTACAATTATATTTCTTCATATATATATATATATATATATATATATATATATATACACACACACACACACAGTCATATTTTATTATACAAGTCAATATATGTCGCAGGAAAATTTTATTATGCAACTTGAGAGTTGTTCATCCTTGTGTGTGTGTGTGTATATATATATATATATTGCACAAATCATGCTGTTGTTAAAACAGTGCTCGATGTGATACAACAGAGCTATTAAATATGTATTAATAAATATACATATTATCCTCACTGCTAGCACGACTCAGTTTCATGCACAACACAATCTTCTGGTTACATAATTTGAATTTTAATATATATGGTTATCAATGTAGGCATAGTTATATATTATGCTGGGATTATAGTTTTTTTAATTTAAAAAATTATATTTGGCAATTAAACTAAGCGAACTGTGCTAGCAGTGAGGGATAATATGTATATTTATGTGTGTGTGTGTGTGTGTGTGTGTGTGTGTGTGTGTGTGTGTATATATATATATATGTGTGTGTGTGGATATTAGTCAACACTCAGTAGTGACAGTTTCATGCTTATATGCAATTGTCTGATCTGTTGATTGCATATAAACTTGAAACAGACTGTCGACACTCAGTGTTGACTTCAGTGTCCACTTTTATATATTTACATATGCTCTATCCCTGATATTGAGCTCTTTAACCCATAAATATAACATACATTAAAACTAATATATATATATATATATATATATATATATATATATATATATATATATATATATATTTTGATAATATTAGTGGTAAATATACACATACATATGCAAAATATATAGATATATATACATAGGTGCATACACATATATGTATATTTTTTGAATAAAAAATTCCGAGAGGATAGAATCCAGGTAGAACTCAATGTCTAGGACAGAGTAAGGATATAATAAAAAGGCTTAAACACTAAATATTCCATGGTCATAATTTATTCCATTGGAATCGTAAATACGATCCAATTCATCAGACCTACAAATTCACAAAGAAAACAGAAAAAACAACTCCGGAAATAAAAACAGAATTTAGAGAGAGTCTAGAGAAGGAGGGAGATTAAACCTTAACAGAGAGAATTTTAGGAGAGGTGAGTGGAAGGGGTTTAAGTAAGAGAAATATGAATGTTGTAGGATGTCTATGCATAAAGATACATTTCGTGGCGACATACACACACCATAGACGATTTAATGTCAGAATAAGAGGGAGGGAAAGACGAGGTGGGGGAGAGAGATGGGGCGAAGGAAAGTAAAATTGCTTTTATTGAAAGGGCCGCTGTGTAATTGAGAAAATTTGACAATTAATATCGACTACAGGTTACAAATCAAATATAAACATATAAAAAATAAATATAACAATTATCTAATCTAGCAAGGACCTATATTTTTATGTTCAAAAACACATGCGAATACACACATACACAATAACATATACACGTAGATACATACACATAGGCGTGTACCCACATACATATACCCATGTACACACATATATAAATATATCCACATATCCATACATACACATATCCATCTATATCTATATACACACACTTTTCACATATATATATATATATATATATACATACATGCACACATACAAATCCATACACATACACCACACATACATACATACACGCACATATATATATATATATATATATATATATATATATATATATACGCACTTAAAAAAAACCAACAATATACAAAAATACATACACACACATACATGCATATATACACACATACATCCATCTGCATCCAGTCCTTCATGAATATACACACATTTACCCACATATATACATACGCATACGTGTACATAGACATATATCCCTAAAACCTTACATTTCTATACAATTCCATACACCCATTTAAACAAATAAACAATGTGTCCCTGTATCTATCCATCTAATTATATATACATACCTATATACGTACATATACACCCATATACAAATATATATGAGTACATACATACCAAAACATACACACATATATATATATATATATATATATACACTCATCACCATATACATCTACATATATATCCATCCATCTACATATATATGCACATATACGTATACGTATATATATATATATATATATGTGTGTGTGTGTGTGTACTTAGCTATGTGTGTATATATGTAGGTGTGTGTATATAGGTATATGTATGTGTATGTATGGATGTACATGTATGTGTATATATGTATATTTATGTATACGTATAATAATATATTACATTATATATTATATATATTATATATATATATTTTATATATATTATATATATTTTATATATATTATATTATATATATATTATATATATCTATATATTATATATTTTCTAAGGTAATGGATTTTATTTTCAGTTAAGCAGATTTTTTTATCACTTGAAGTTAAAAAAAAATGTTTAAAGTGATAAAATATGTATAGTTTATTTTTTTAATTTCATATTAATAAAAATTGTCAAGCTGACAGAAAAGAGAAGGTATTAAGCTATTTAGTGATGGGAAGCAACGTTGGAAATTATAGAAATGTTTAAAAGATGATAATTAAAAAAATTATAAATATTGACAAGAACAAGAAAAATCTGGTTTTAAGAATGCAATAAAAAGATGCTTGAGAAAAATTAAGACTAATAAACAAAAAAGATCAACTGGCAAGAAAATATTTGAAGACATTAGTGTTGCAAATGAAAATAGAAAAGATACTGAATAGGAAGAACATTGTCTAAAGACATGAAAGCAAACAAACTATCACTTTTAATACACATTGCAAAGAGAAATGTGTAAGTTGGGTGAACCAGTACATGAAAACTGATATCAACAGTAATTTTTAGCAATAAATGTAAGGCTCCATTGGATGAACCTGATGGCTAGAGGTTGTGTCCTTCATGGGAATAGTCAACCAGCATGACATGAAGACAGGAGGAATGTCAGATAATGTTTTGGACTTGAAGGTAGTAAAATTCTAGATCCTGTTAAATTTGATGATACAGAAAATTCTTGAAATTTTTTGTATATATCATTTTTAAGTGTTTCCTTTTACAACAAAGAAGCTTTATGCTTCTTCCTATTCTGCAAATCTATTGCCCACTTTGCTAAAAAAACAAATTTCAAAGATCCCAAATTAATAGAATTGCTCCCAGCCTCTTCAGATATTAATCCATATAAAAATTTGTGAATCATTAAGAGATGTAAATGAAAATGGAAAACTGTATTCATAGTTTGGATAATACTATTTAGTCTTGTTTTATTTTTCTGAAACCTTGGAGCCATTCTCCTATAGTTAATTGAATATCATAATTTGTTAGGTTTTGAGTCTCAGAATGATTGCCATTTTCTTTTCATATATTCACTATGGAGTATCCTTATGTTAAGGAAGTCTAGTTAGTTTCTCTGCTATTTTATTGCCCACTATACTGACATGACTTCCCAATTCAGGCTAAGACAACTGATTTTATGCAAAATATATTGCTCATATTTGTATATCCTGAAAATATTACCATCATCAGTTGGTTATATCAATTTTTTTGTGAAAACATAGACTTGTATAAAATCTGATATTCTGTGTCTGTGTTCACCTGGTCCTGGTTGAATTTCTTAACTTGTTCAGCAAGCATCTTGATTGGCTCACACAAGTCAGTCAGACCTTGTTTGGCATGAACTGCTCTCTTCCTATCATGTATGACGTGTATCTATCCCTCATGCAGCACACGCCTAATAGTGGACTTTACCACTTTGAGGTTCTTCAGTAATGGCCCTTAATGATTTAATGGAGGTCATAGATGATGATGTTCTGAACCTGCTAGACCAAGTCCTGCCATCCTTGTTTGCTTAAAAAATCTTTTGTAAATTATTATGTATTTTCTTTATAAGAATAATAAGTTTTGTACTTAATCAAATAGTTTTGTTATATTAAGCCTATGATAGCAAGAGAAAGGAATAACGAGGATTAGAGTGAAACATTTATTGCCGGTAGATAATACAGGAATATAGTCAGGTGTATGTGTGATGTCAGTGATTGAACCATTTCTTATGCCGGCATGGCCGAGGTCACAAGATATGGTTAGTGCACATTTGCTTGATTGTGGTTACAGTGGTAGGCCGTCTTGTCATGGTAGTTCTATTATATGGAACGGATAGTCGCTGGAGTCAACTGTGAAAGGAGTGCCTTCTAAACGAGTCAGGGTAGAACGAAGTAAGTCAAGGTAGGCTGAGATGACAACAGGTTTCAGGAGACCAGCTCTGTGAAAGGGAGGTCACTGTGTCAACTGCAACGGGAGTGCCTTGTAAGTGAGTCAAGGTAGAGATGTGTGGAACGGTTGTCGCTGCCTCAACTGTGAATAATATATCTTGTAAGCGAGTCGAGGTAGGTCAGAATAGGCCGAGGTGATGGTGGGTTTAGGGAGGCCAGTTCTGTGGAACAGAGGTAGCTGCATTGACTGCAATGGGTGCTTCACAAGTGAGTTGAGGCAGAGCTGTTCTGTTGAACGGAGAGTAGATGCGTTGACTTCAAAGGGAGTGCCTTGTAAACAAGTCAGGGTGGGCTGAGGTGATGGCGTGTGTTGGTATTGATGGAGACCTGTATCTGGGAGGAATAGAGGTAGAGATGTTGAGTCAAAAACTGGATAGCCGAGGTTGTAGATCAGGCC